GTGCCACTGGTGCATGCTGTTGGTTTTCTTTGTTTTGTGTTTTTATAACGACTGTTTAGTCAGCTGTCATGACAAGGAACCCTACTGGCTGCTGCCATCACTTCCAGGATTGTCCCTGGAGGTGAGCAGAACTCTCAGAAAGCCCTAGTTCAAAGCCAGAGGCTATTCAAATGTTCCATACTCTTTCTTTCAAATGAACTGATCTGAGACATGAGCCTGAAAAGGTGTAAGCTGCACTGTAAGGAATGTCCCCCCAGCTCTTTGTCCTGACATACTAACCTCATGCTGACGGTGCTGTTAAAACTAGAATTAGAACAAATGAGCTGAGGAGGACACGGCATAGTAGTTGGTGCTGGGCTTTGTCTACAGTAACAGCATTCTCCGCCTCTTTGGTCAGTGGTTCCTCTTTTCCCTTTCCTTTGACACTCTCTTCTCAATTATCCATGAACTTTTCTTTGGTTGTCTTAAGCTTGCCTGATCACACTGGTTACCCTGACTGCTCTGTCATATTTCTTGCATCTTATATGACCGTGTGCTTCCAGCCAGGCTCTGCCCTGAGGCTACTCTCACCAACTCCCATTCTGATCTTATTGGTTCCCAGAAACTTCTCTGGTGCATACCTCCAACCAGTGCTGTTGTAGGGATGTACAAATCCAAAACAGGCATCCTTTTGTGGTCTGCATTAGAAAGACAAAACCTAAATTTTATTTTATGTAGGAGACATTAATTCTGTTGTAATAAGAAGGGATCCCCACTTAAGGGCTTTAGCTCCCAACTCCAGCTGTGATGTTTTCACTGAAGCAGGAGTTGCATAGCTTGTTCTTGCTGTAAATTGCATGTATCTGCTGGGAGGTACTTGAGGAGCTGTCTGACTGTATGTGTTGTGTTAAACTGGCTCCTCTATCTGATACTGGGATTTGCAAAGTAATTATTTAAGATATTTCATAAATAAATACCAAGGTGCTCTTAGTGAGAGATGCCAGAGCTGCTTCTGGACAGTACAGCTTTCTGGAAAGATAGTTTTTCTAACCCAAAGAAAGCAGCGTTAGGTTCTCAAAAGCAGCTTGTAATTTGAGTGCTTCCACTTCTGGGTGAGTCATCAGCATGGCTTAGAGTTCAGGGGCCATGTAGAGCATCATGCTGAGCACTCAAAATTGTTTAATACAAAAAAAACACAAAAAAAACAATTTTTATGCCTTGATTCTTAAATCCCAAATACAGAGAGGGGAACTACCAACATGCCAAGGATACCTGGTGAAAAGAGAGCAAACTGGCATATTAGCTGTGTATTTTCTGAAACAGGACTCACACTGTTAAGAGGTTTGTTTTTATTGTCTCTTCCTTTGGTCTCCTTTACCTCAAATATCCTTTCCTTTCTCTTCATCCCATTGTCCTGTGTTTGCATCTTGAATTACAGTTAACCTTCCTGTGTCTTCCTCTTGGTCCTGATTTTGTTCCCTTTATTGCACTCTTGCACGTGCACAGAAACACAGCATCTCTCTGCTGATAATTCTCTGCCCTACCCTGAAATTCACACCCTGGAGTGATGATCACCCTTCCTTTCACTTAATTTTTTTACTTGCATGTTTTATTGAGATCCTACCACAGCCTCACTTAGTCCCTCACATGAGCCAGGCCCTTACCATGTAACAGAGTGAGCAGGGCTTTACTGCTGCTGATTGAAGCTCTGCAAAATTAAATCTCTCTTTGTCTCTTCCATTTCTTCCTGCACTGTTTTAGCAGCCCACTTCCAGCCACTGCTCCCCATCCTCCCTTGTTAGTGAGGCCAGTTGCTGCCTACTCTGCATCTTACATGCAGAGGACAGACCTCTGGCCATGCACTCGTTGAGAGACTGCAGAGACCTGAGTGCCAGCACCCCTGTGCAGAGGTGTAGATCCAGGATGAATACCTGCAGCACAAATAACTGGATGTGCTGCGGGTTGATGGTTAATTCTTTTGTAACTTGCATGAATTGTTACTTATAGCTGAACCTGACCCACAGCGTTGCTGTTACGAGCTTTTTATCCCCTTTATAGACTTGTGCAGGCTCACACAAGCATGTGTATAGGAAAGATGCTAGCAAACCAACATAGAAGCTTCTCCTTAGACCTGTGCTGTTTGCATTTGATGTTGTCCAGGTGTAATGTGTGACATCCCATTTGTGGATCCTTGTCCTGACTTCCAGCATACCCAGGGGCTGCCTATGCAGAGACAAGCCTGCCAGAAAATACAGTGGTTTTGCTTTTTATTATGCTGACAGAAGTGCACTGTGACTTCATGTATGCAAACTTCCTACTTTCACCTCCCAGTCTGCGCTGAGTTCATTTACCATCACACTCACCTGGGGCCCAAGTTGGTCTCTGTCTCTACCAGATTGCAATATAGAAATTCCCCTCCTTTCCAGCAACGAAGGAGCTGCACCCTCTGAATGCACCTCTTGTTGCCCAGAGCAGCAACGCTTTAAGCTGTTACTGCACTTCTGAATCCACTCACTGAAGCTGTTCTTAGATGAGCATTTGGAGACCTTGTCCAAAGCAATATAAAGACTTTGGATTTTATTGCTGAAGAGGGAAGACAACCAACTTTCTCATTCTGGTGCTAGAATACTCTCCAGTGGTGCTTTCACAGATGTGAAGCCTTTGCTTGAGTAGTACACAAGAGTATATGTGTGTATGTGTGTGTGTGCATATGTATGACAACATTTGGAGGGTTTCTTCATTTTGAAAGATCTGAACCCACGTTTGTCTTTATATTGTTGGCCTTAATCTAGCTCCTAGATACTGTGTCTATCTTGCTGCTGTTTTCTGTATGAAGCTGGTTTGGAGGAGAGGAAAGATCATCTGGTTCCCCTGTAAAATATTGTTGACTGGTGATGCTGATCTTCATACAGTGTTGTTTGGGGGTGAAATTTTATTTTTCTAATGTTTTTCCTACTGTAAAAAACTGTTGGAGTGTTTGGAACTGAAAAGATCGTTATGAAATGGACTGTCTGATAAAGATTTTAGTGCTACTTAATAAAAACCACAATCACTCTTAAGGTGGAACATAAATGAGCTCCATTTCCATTCTCTGCCTTCCTCGGAACATTGTACTCCTTTGGGTGTGGGCTTGTTAGTTATGTTATGAGACTTGGCGAAGACTTTTAATGATTTTGTTGTTCTGAATTAGGAAGGATTTGGATTCTAGAACCTTGTTCCAGTTCTGCAGCCTGGGTTTGGTTTGGCAGATGCCATAGATGTTATACACACACCTATTTGATGGGATGGATGGAACGAGTTGCTGATTTCTGAAAGTCATCACATCTTTTACCTAAAAGCTTAGACATGAAGTTGGTCACTGTGGCAATGTGGTAAAACTTATTGCTGGCATCCATAGGCCAGATTCACTGGAATTTTGCCTGTCTGCTCAAGCAACAAATTCAGCTTCTGAATGTTTTGTTCTCACTCTCTTCTTGGGTAGTGGGAACATCTTTAAATGCTGCTGAACTGCCTGGGTTCCTTTAAACAAGGCAGCTGAAATGGAGGGCTTGCGTTGCCTGTGGATGCTGCTATGTTCTTTTTCTTCCAAGTACCATTCCAGGAAATAACTGTGGTCTTAACCTCTATCACACACATCTGTTAGAAGGCTACAAAGGGCCAGTTTGGCCAATGAGAGTTAAATTTTAATTATATATATATATACATACACACACACGTGTGTGTATATATATATGTACGTGAATATATGCACATTGCAACAGAGAGTAATCATCACTGTTTTGAATGGAATTGGTATCTAGAGAGGGTGTGGAGGACAATTTTGAGTCCTAAACTTTATTTCCTGTGACAGAAACGCTGTATGTCTTGTATGTGTACTTGTTTGGGGAGCTCTGACACTGTACAGTTTAGTTAAATTGTACTCCAGGGGGAGAAACTGTTCCTCGGAGGTTTTTAGTTCATACTTTGTGTTCAAAGAGGAATATTTTTCTTTAAAAAATAAAAATGGAAAAAATTTTCACCTTACAATGATTTTATTTCTTGGGGAGCTGAGTGTTTTTTTTGGGGGCAAGGAGATGCTACTTGGGCTCGTGTGTGTGTCTGTGGTCAGATTAGCTTTGATCTCTTTGCTCTGATGAGATCTGAAATGAAAAGTGTTACACTTTGAAAGCTTTCCTTCAGCTAAAGCAAAGTCATCTCCTGCTGTAACTTCTCAGGTGCTGCTGCACCTCTGTAAGGCGTTGCTGTCTTGAGCTCACAGAGGACAGGGACTGCCTTTAGTGTTCCTGTTTCCTTGGAGCCCTGATCTTGACCGATGGCTGTAGGGTGGCCTGGTATCATCTCACACAAAACCACACAGCATTTCCTGTATTTTGGCAGACAGAGGGTGGAATAAAGGGACTCTGAATGCAGGTGCTTTGTCCTGCTCCAGTCATCCTCCAAACACGTACAATCAGTGAGAAACCCAAGAGGAACGTTCGTATGCATGTAAGCTGAGAATGACAGACTGAGCATTTTCCTTCTCTTCCTCAGCTCTGTGCTACAACTTTTGGAGAAGAGGAATTGGTGCCACCCAGACCAGTGAGCAGTGAGTTCGTTTATCCATTTATTAACAGCGAGCAAAGAAAGGAGGGCTTATTAACCAGTAATCACTGGCTAAGGCAGGGAACTGCCGTCCAACCGGGAGTTCTTTACAGACACACCTGGACGCATCGGGGTTCCGGCGGAGGCAGCGCTGCGCTCTGCTCAGCTGCTGCGGGTGGCGAACGGACCCGGCGTGGATCTGAATCCACGAATCCTGGCGTGCGGCTCGATGGCCCCGAAGTGCCCGGAGGTGAACGGCCCCAGCCCCGCGTTCCCCCCTGTGACCCCGCGCTGCTCGCCGCACCTGCCGCCCTCGCCCTCTGCCGCGCTTGGGTTTGCCGACGGAACGCGCCGTCCTGACCCGCCCGCGACCCCCAGCCGCTCCGGGGATGGGGCGGGGAGGGAAGGAAAAGGGCTCGGGGGAGCGCGAGGGACAGAAGCGGCGGTGCCATGGGGGACGAGGTGCAGCTCCCCTCGGGCAGCCCGGCCCTGCAGAAGCCGCCTTACACCTACGCGGCTCTCATCGCCATGGCCATCCGGGCCAGCCCCGAGCAGCGCCTGCCGCTCAGCGGCATCTACAGCTACGTCTCGGGCCGCTTTCCCTATTACCGCCGCGGCCCTAAGGGCTGGCAGAACGGCATCCGCCACAACCTCAGCATCAACCCCTGCTTCCTCCGCCTGCCCCGCCGCTCCGGCGCCCCGCACCGCGGCGGCGAATGGGCTCTGGATCCTGCTTTCCAGGACGCGTTCCCGGGGGGCGATCGCCGCCGCCGCCGCCGTTCGATCCAACCTTCGCCGCCGCTCCCCTGCTGTCCGTGCGCTGCCCGCTCCGCTCTGCCCCGCGGCTGCCGCTGCTCCGAGCCACCCGCCTGGAGCCCGCCCTGCCGCTCCGGTGCCCGACAAGCGCTGCTCACCTGGAGCCCGTCCTGCTTCCCGGGCTGCCAACGAGGGCCGCCCGCCTGGAGCACGCCCTGCTGCCCGCCCTGCTGCCCGGAGTCCCCGCAAGCGCTGCCCGCCTGGATCCCGGGGCCGAGCCCAGCGCTGCCCGCCGGTAGCTCGGCTTCGTCCCCGCTGCAGCCCGCCTGGCCGCTGTCCGGCGTCGCCTCTGCTGCTGTCCAATGCCCTCCCGAGCCGGGCTCCCACCGCCCTCTGGCTGCCAGCAGGGCCCCGGTGCTGCCCTGAGGCTTCCAGGTTCCGTCCTGCCCATTTTCGTGGTGATGCGACTTATAGAGGCCCCATCCGTCAGAAGATTGGTCTGGAAGATCCTTGTTGGTTGAGCAGAGCCCCGTTGCGTTGCAGTGGCTGAGATGTGCTGCCGTGTTTCACGGAGCTGTCTGTGAGATATCTGCACTACAGCCATTTGTCAGTTCAGATTTATTGGTGTTTGAGCCTTAGGACCACCCTAAAGGGGGCTGCAGAGCTTTGGCAGGCTCACCTGTGTGTTGTCTTCTTGAATCTGGAAGTATACAGAAGCCAAGGGATGCCAGTCCTTGTGCAAGTGAAATTTGGCTTTGCTACAGGCACGATATTTTTGCAAGTGTCCTTAAACTCATTAAGTCATTCTTGAGCTTTCATTTCAAGCTTTTGTATATGCATATACAAATGGTATATGCACTTTTCAGTTTGATAGAGAAAAAAAATAACCAACCCACAAAGATCTTTGAAGTAATGCCAGGAATCTGATTGCTTTGTAGTTGAAGCAGAGCAATATGAGGTTTTGTATACAGCCAGGGTTTATTTTATATTGCTGCTTCTTACAGATGCTTGCACACATTTGTTCTTAACATTTTCCTTCTAAGTGATGCTCTGTTTTATGAGGATGTTTTCCCCTTTTAATTTCAGAGTCATTTCTGTGCTTCCCCCTAAAAATAAGGCTCAGGGACAAAGTATGCTTCCAGTAAGGGTTGTATTTCAGTTTGTTAAGGAAAAGTTCAAATACAGTTTGTGCAGAGCCAGCACTTTGTCATACTGATGTTTTATGAACTGTTCAATACTCCTTGTAGGAGCTCATGGTTTCAGCAAGCAGTTGGAACTGATTTTTTGTTCATCCTTAGAGAAGTTGGGGTTTAAACCCAGATTTGCAGTTTGTATTTTGCATTTTCTTGTACTTGAGAAATTATTCCGGACGTTGCCTTTAAATGAAGGCAATGAAACAACTGTTGCATGTTGAAGCTGGCAGTCACTCTGTATGTAAGGACAGCAAAGACCTCTAGAGTTTTGTTCTGGAGAAGCGTTTTGGTCCCTGTTGTGGTTGAGGTCATATATGAATAATGCACATTTGCAGCGTTTGGGGTATGAAGTTTGACCTCTGGACAGTCATTAATTCCACTGTGCACAATTACGAAAATAAGAAGAGTTTCTGAAAGTTGGTGTTTGTGTGTGTGCTTCTCACCTTGTTTTTCCAGCTGAGTTGTGTTTCCTTGCCACTTGGCATGACTTCACATCGCTGGTTGCCATGCTGGGAGAAAAGGAGGAGGAGCAGCCCTTTCCCCCTCCTTGTCAGGGCTCCCCTAAGTTGTCCTGAGGGCTTTTGTCTGCTCCTTGCTTGCTGGCACCTGTGGGCCATGGGCTGAGCCACCTCTGTCATGCAGTTGTGCACAGAAGCTGCAGGGCTGGGACTGAAGAGAGACCTCCTGAGCAGAGTGCCTGCACACACAAGAAAGGAGAACAAGAGCTGATTGCATTTCTGGAGGAGCTGTGCGTGTTTTCCCCAGCTCGCTGCTGCCAAGCACAGGTGTCAGCAGCCCTGCTCAGGCCCTGGCAGCTGCAGTCCATCCACACTAACGAGGCCCAGAAGCTTCTATGGGGGGTGTGGGTGGAGGAGCTCCTGTGTTTTATGCTTTCTGTTCCCCTCTACAGAGGTCTACCCCTGTCTTTTTGGATTTATCTTTTGGATTTGGGATTGCTTTTGGAGCACAGCTCTACATGGTCCAGTGGTTACCTGGCAGGGCATGGATTGGGTAAGTGATGGTTATTTCTCCTCTCCATCAGGGGCTGCTCTCTGCCTTCTCTGTTGTGAGTGCTGTCTCCTGTGTGTGCCCACCAAACACATGGATAAGGCTGGATTTGTAAAGCTTCCTCTTTCCCTATTGCTCCTCTTGAAGCAAGAGATAGTTAGTGCATGAAGTGGATTGTATAGGCTCAGTGCTGGTGGTTCTTTGGAGGCTCTGTGCCCACTCATGAGGTGCTCAGCAGCTCTCAAATCTCAAGTGTGAGAGATGGAGTCACACACCTGCAGTATATGGCATGCTGTGTCAAGATGGTGGGTTCAGAGTGATCTTCTGCCCTCGTGCCTGCTGCTAGGGCCTGGGGGCTCTTAAAGGGATTGGATTTCTAGCAACCTGTTCACGTTGCTAGGAGTTATATTCGTGCTTTATTGGTTCTACAGCTTTCCCGTTTGTGTTTGCCACTAGATGGTGCGTTTGTACCAGCACACCAAGGCTGGGGACTGCTGTCAGTGAGGCTGCAATGGTCTTCAGTGGTGATGACTGCATCTCTTTCTCTTCTAGAAAATGAAACGGGGAGGATGTGTAGGAGGGGTATGAAAGGGAGATAGGAATGGATGTTCAGCTGCAGTGGTTCGTTCCCAGCAGCATTCCCTGTTATCTTGGGCTTGGTTCATTTTTCTTAAAGTGATGGCCCTTATGGATGAATTCAAACAGATGTAGGCAGAACGTACTGCATTCCTTGTGAGAACAGTAGGGCACAGATATCTGTTGACCAATTATTAGGATTGCAGACGACTGCATTGGTAGGGACTTTGTGCTTTCTCCCTTTCACACTCCTTATTTCTCCTGTTTTGTCATTTGAGGCAACTGTGAATAAAAGAGGCACATTTCCACTGGCAAAGTTAGGTCTCTTGCAGGAATGTGTTGGTGTGATTGCCACAGAGTGAATCATCTGTTCTAGCAGGCTCCTTTCTCCAGAGATCCTTCAACTGTAAGCAGGGATGGTCTCTTCCAAGGGATGATTCAGACCGTTTAGATGAAGTCCCTGCTCTGAATCACTCTTTGTAGGAGCTCCTCTTCTCATTAGTAATTTGAAAATTCAGAACAAACAGTCTAAGAGCACAGGAAGAGTTGGTGCCAGCACAGTGAGGTGCTGGGAATCTCCCTCAGTCTTGTTCAGGCACTCGTGCACAGCCTTCTTGCTTCTGTGGTTGGAATAGAAAGCTACAGCTCTGACTGCATTTAAATCAGGGAGATTGTTCATGGTTTGCATGGCTTTTCTAGCAGCTCTGAAGTACTGGGGCCTCTCCTGTGTTTTGCATCCCACTCGTAGTGAAAGATCTTACTGGTGAGCTCCTTTCTCTTGAGTTTGTGACTGTGTTTAGAAAACTCAACCTCTGCTTATTTTTCTTCAAGTTTCTTCTTCGGTCAACATTCTTATTGGTTTTATAAATAAACCACAGCACAGCGTATCCCTTTGCAAGCAATACAAAGTCTTTGAGAATGGCTATGAAAATACTACATTCCCCTTTCCCACCAGTGGGTATCAGACTGTTACATTCCTTTCCATTATATCATCTCACATCTGTCTTCGCTTCTTTCCCTTATTGATTTTGAGCAACTGAAATAGCAGTTCTATATACCACCAGCAGTGGAAAAGAAAGGCAGTTCGTCCATGCACTGTGCTGAATTAGTGCACGTGTAGGAGAATTAATTGTCAGAATCCAAGCCAAGTGCAGAGTAGAAAGATGCTGTGCCAGTGTCCTAGTGTTAAGTGCCATATCTGACCCTGAGCTGTCATGCAGTATGGGATTGTTGGGTTATTTCATGGCTTCTTATTGTGAACTGTTACCTGCTATGGCTCAGATTGTGCATGTTTATCCCACCTGCATTTACTGAAATGTTGAGCATCAGTCTTCAGAAATGCTGGTCCAGGTGGTTCTTGGCTATATTTGTTTACTTTCCCATCTTTGCAGCAGCAGGATTCTTGTGACATTGCTTCTTTTCCTTTTATCCACTAAATTGATTGGCATAAAAATAGAAGGCGTTATGTGCAGAGATAACATTGAAAATACCTTGTATGATGTGGAAGCCACAGCATTTACTTGTTTGTCAGGGGTTTGCTTGGCATTTCTCTCCCCTGCTGCTGTATTTTTGCCTCTCACTGATGTTTTCTCATCCTCACCATTTTCATCTCTCAGCCTGAAATGATACGGGTGCGGGCAATGAAGGCTCCAATAAAAGAGGAACCCGTTGATAGAAGCTGCCAACAGAGGGTGGGTAGACTGGGGAAGCCATGAATGCAGAGCCACTAACAAACTGACCCACTGCTCCTCTGCAATAGCAGATTGCGTGCAGTCCTGCCTTTTCTGCCACGACAGCAGATGCCAGGACTTGAGCTGACAGCAAAGTGTAGCAGTCTTACTGGAGGTCTCTGATACTCCACAACCTGTGGGTTTATTCTGCCTGTCTCGGTATCAGCCACACTCCCATCTCCTTCCCCAAACCTGCAGAATCAAGTGAGAAGCACTTCCTTCACGCTGCTGGATTTCCCCTCCTACAGTGGCTCTCTGGCCATGCAGCTCCGTAACCAGTTTCCCGTCAAGAGCAAAAGTACAGTGTTTCTCACCAAAAACGTGGCCTGTGGTAAGGGGGTGGGAAGGGAGGAGGAGGTGGGGTGCGTGCCGGGGGAGCTGTTGCTGCTGCAGTTTCATGCCTCTATCTGTATTCTTTCTCTTTTCTGCATGGCTTCCTGTTTTTTCACACCACTGCTCTTTGAAACAACAAGCTGCAAGGGAGGACAGGGGTGGAGGTTAGAAGGCTGGAAGAAGCCTCTGGCAAGGCTTGAGAAACATTGGTGCTGGCTCTGGAAAAGGTAGCACGTGTTCATGTGTTTCTCTGGGTGAGATCCTGCTGCTGTGCATCAGAGAAGTGGCTCTCTGAGAGGTGATGCTGTGGTATGCGCGTGGGCTCAAATGTGTGTTGCACAATGCTGTGAGATTGCAACAGAACTACTCATCACTTTCCCACTTGGCAATTGTCTTCCTGGGCTGCTCTTGAATGGACAGAATTAGAATTATTAGCTTAGGCATGCAGCTATAGGAGTCAGATGTAGTCCGTGTCAGGATAGAGCTGAAAAACAAATCGCCGCTTCTGGTTCCCGCAGCATTTCTGTAAGGTGAGCAACCATCTTGGCCAAAGGGGAACGTTTATGTGTTGCCTTACCTTACCTTACCATGACCTTGGGCAGTTAGCAACTTATACAGAGGCTGGACAACAGTGATTTTCTCAGAGAAGTCGTTCCCAAACTGTGAGCCAGGCAGCAATTGCTAACATTTTGCAAATATTACTGACAATTCTGACAAGCCCTGACTTCTGGTTTCCAGGTACCTGGCAGCATTCATAGAAAACCAAGAAGCACTAGGAACTTTGCTGTCGGTGTAGTTCCTCTGTTTGCTTTCCTCTTTATTGTGAGAGGGGGAAATGGTATGTTGAATCATCATTGAA